GGTCAGAATCTGATCTGTGGTGGGTCTGAGGGGTCAGAATCTGATCTACAGGGGGTCTGAGGGGTCAGGATCTGGTCTACAGGGGGTCTGAGGGGTCAGGATCTGGTCTACAGGGGGTCTGAGGGGTCAGGATCTGGTCTACAGGGGTCTGAGGGGTCAGGATCTGGTCTACAGGGGTCTGAGGGGTCAGGATCTGGTCTACAGAGGTCTGAGGGGTCAGGATCTGGTCTACAGGGGTCTGAGGGGTCAGGATCTGGTTTTGTTCAGAGTCAAACTTTATTAAAAAAACAAACAAACGTTTACATAAGTTACAGCTATCTTCATCATCGTCATCATTATAAAGGGGGAGGGGCATGCAGGGGGTGGAGCTAAGCTCTACAGACGGTTTAGTGGTACAAAATCATWTAGTTTGTTTATTGTCTGCTGTAAACCTGGTAGGAGGAGCTAGTGGAGCAGCARAGCAGGTGAAGGGCGGGGCTTCCTGCAGGTCAGGTCCACTTCCTGTTTCACACAGAAGTGACGATGTAGGAGCCGCGCTCGTCGCCGCCGTCCTCTCCACCCTTCGGCTCGCGCTTCTTGGTGACGGGGGTGGGGATGAGCGAAGGCCGGGTGGGAGGGATGGATGTGCTGCTGGCRGGCAGCGTGGGGGCGGAGCTTACATCAGCGTTACTCTTCCTGGGGCTGGGCGTGTAGTTGAAGGGGCTGACRCGCGCTGCCACTGCACCACTGCGCTGCTGAGCTCGCTGCTGCTGCTGCTGCGGGCGCTCTGCTGCAGGAGGCGGGGCCTTATCTTCCAGGCTCTCACAGCTCCGCCTCAAGTTAAGGTTAGAGGACGAAGAGGAGGAGGAGCCGTCTATGATGGGCGGGGCGTTGGTGGTGGGCGAGCGGGCGGAGCAGGAGGAGGGAGAGCGTGGGTTGTTGACGGGACAGTCCTCCAGGCGGACCCACACGTCTTCTGGTTTGGCACTTGCTGAGTCAGCGCTGCTCTTAGCCTTCCGCCACGTGCCCTTGGGCCTGGCGGCGCTCTCCTCCTCGCTCCGCCCCTTCTCGCTGGACTCTGATGAGGCGGACAGCACCGAGGAGGAACTTCCTGTTCTCTTCCACGTGCCAACACGGGGTAAAGATGTGGAGTGTTTGCCTCCACTTCCTCCCGCGGCACCGCCGCCGTTCTCCCGTTTCCAGGTGCCRGTGCGACTGAGGCGAGATGAGGTCACTTCCTGTGAGCGGGAGGGGCTTTCAGAGTGTGAACGGTTGACTTCCTGTTTCCTGTTTGTGGGGGGCAGCAGAGTTTCGGGGCTGGACAGTGACTCTGGAGCTGCTGCTGAGGAAGACTCCTCCAGCTTCCTCTTCAGGGTGGGGCTGGGAGCTTCTTTGATAAAGGTCGATTGGCGGACGAGCGCCGGCTTCTCAGGCTCCGCCTTCTGCTTCCTGGAGGAAGTGGAGCTGCTGAGCCTGGAAGCAGATTCACTTCTTGGAATGCCGCTGGCGCTCTTTGAAGCCGTGCTGTGTGCAGCGACTCTACAGGAAGACGATGACGAGGCACTTCCTGGAGACGATGTACGCGGCAGCTGGGACAGTCTTCCTGCTTTCTGATTGRCCGGGGCAGAGGAGCGGGAGGGGGTGGAGTCTCGAGAAGAAGCACCTCTGTCAGCAGCGTCACTGCTCCCTGGAGCCTTGGCGGCGGCTGCAGCTCTGGGTTTGCTCCGCCCCCTGGCTGCCGTCTCCACTCGGGGCTTCCCTGTGATCAGACTCCTGTAGACCTTCTTCCCTCCTCTCAGAGCCTTCGCCTCCTCCTCCTCTTCCTCCTTCTTCTTGGCCTCCCGCGTGCTGAGCTCACCAGGCTTCAAGATCCTGGCGCCGCGCTTGGTTTGTGGTCCGTCCTCCTCTTCCTCCTCGCCCTCCTCCAGGTTCTTATTGGCTCTGGGCAGGTGGAAGGGCGAGCCCACAGACTTCAGAGACAGAACTGAGTCAGAGTCTGACGACGGCTGGCGGGACAACGACGAGGCGGCGGCGGCGGCGGCGTTCAGGCTGCTGACGATTGAGTTGGCACCTTCTTGAATAGCCTTCCAATCAAACGACTCAGAGTCGGGGGAGGCGGGGCTTCTAGGAGCTTCTGAAGGCTCCTCCTCAGCCAGAATGCCCTCATCTGTTTTGGACACAGAGATGGAGGCGGGGACAGGAAGTGAGGACACTTTCTTCTTCTTCTTGGGCATGGCGGAGCTGATGCACTCCTGCAGGAGGTCATCCTCAGAGTCGATGCTGAGCGAACTGAGCGACGAGTTCCTCGAGAAGCAGACCGGCGTGTCCTCCACGTGGAACGCTTTGGGGGCGTAGCCGCTGGCAGCAGGGGGGCGGGGCTTCAAATCCACCTGTGGGCACAGATAAGGTGTGTCAAACAATAACATGAACAGAACTTTGATTAAAATCAAGTGTCAGCTGTACACCTGGCTGTAAAGTGGACTCTGGTGCGGTCAGATTACAGTGAACTCCAAGCGGAGCTGAGACCGCTCCAAAAGCAGGAAGTGGACTGTAACGCAGGGCATTCTGGGTAATAACAGTAATAATCTATTTGTGTCTTGCCTAGAGAACTGAATGGGCTCTAAGGGTTCTGCTCTACTGTGGTTTAGATCCTGTCCATCAGAGAGGAGCTTTGAGCTGAGTCCTCTGTAGCACCCCTCACATGTGGAGTACCTCAGGGCTCTAGACTCGGCCCTCTTCTCTTTTCCAATCATCTACTCACACTAGGATCTACTTTGGAGAAGAGTAGTGAAGGATGGAGGGATAAAGGGACGGAGGGATGGAGGGATAAAGGGATGGAGGGATAAAGGGATGGAGGGATAAAGGGATGGAGGGATAAAGGGATGGAGGGATGGAGGGATAAAGGGATGGAGGGATAAAGGGATGGAGGGATAAAGGGATGGAGGGATGGAGGGGAG